CGCAGTCACTTTTGCAGGGGCGGGTCTGGAATGAAAGAATGAGCATTTACATCCAGCAAGGCGATGCGGCCACAAGCAAAGCCATCGAGCCAGTCCGTCAGCCCGGCATCCCGGCGTGGCCTGTGCAGCCCCTGACTGCATCCTTCTCCTTCTTCGCCACCCAGCCAGTCTCTCAATCTTCCACAGTCTTCCACAGTCTCTTAGTCTCTTCCCTTTAAGTCTCTCTCTTTAAGCCTCCCTCTCTGTCAGTCCCTCTAAGTCTTTCAGTCTCTCTCAGTCTCTCTCAGTCTCTCTCAGTCTCTCTCAGTCCCCCTGAATCTCAAGTGACCGTTACGAGCGGGGAGCGGCAGTTGACTCTTTTCGAAGTCGATTGCAGGGCGGGGTCGGTCCAATGGGTGTGCTCGCGCCATGACCTAACCCTAAGATCTTCCCGCGGGGTCTGGCTGCCTTTTTTTTTTCCAACCTTTGGCCTGCTTGCTCTCGAGGTCAGCTCCTGCGCTTTTCCGTTCTCCCTTGATGCCATCTGAGCCGCTCGGGTCGCCCAGTCGGACGACTTCGGGCTCGGACTTAGATAGCATTGGGCAGGGAATCACGGGGCGAGGTTGGGAGTTGGCTTTGGAAGTGGAGAGGCCCAAGGCGGATCAAAGAAAGGGCAGGCAGCTTTGTCGGGTTGTCTTTTTCGGGGCAGATTTTTTCAACGTTGGTTTTCCCTGCCCCACCCCCACGAGTTGCGCTTCCTCGAGCTCAGGCTCAAAGGCAGTCCAATTGTGGTTCTCAAGTTCGACGCGGAGGGAAAACTGATGGCCACCCAGACTTCGATGCGCGTCCGTGTGCGTGCCGTTTATGACACGACCCAGCTAGTGTCGGGCTGCCTGCCGCACATGACCGTGTTTTGGCGTGTGTTGGTGCGTATCCCGACCGTGGGCTGTTTGGTCGAGGGGTTCGTCCCCGCCGGTCAACGTGCCGTCCGGAGGGTCTTCCATACCTCGCGCTCAGATCCCGTCCTTATTTTTTTTAATAAATTTCAACTGAAGCCCGTACTACGCAGTGGAATATAATTTCGCTGCAGGTCACACGAACATGCCCCCAGCTTGGGCACACGCTATTGACAGGTTGGAACCTTGCGCGCTTCAAGGCCACTGCAGGGTTGCACAGCCAAACTCAGGCGCAAGAATGCAATCGCCAGCGTGAAGAGGACAAACAACAACAGTGAAAGAAAAGAAGAACACAGGTGGGTCCAGAACCAGGTGTACAGAAATCGAACAAGAATCAGGCAGGGTGGGTAGCATGTTGACAATGTCGCGTTTGAGCCTGCTTCTTGCGTTTGCTGCAGCCTTAAACGGCGTCTTGATCATCTGCGCTCGAGGCGGCGAAATAACAACACATGTATCAACCCCTCATGAGTGTGAGGCAGTGGCCCTGGACCGGTTCTCACCGCGCTTGCTAGGCTGTGCCGACACTCACCAGTGGTAGTGCCTGTCAACAGCATTCGTCGGCGATCCCTAATGACAATCGTATCACAGTGTCCAGATGACATGAGAACGCCACAATGTTTTTTGTTTGTTTCGAGGTGTGCATTGGAGGCGACGAGTCTGGGGCAACATGAACTGACCGAAGTTTGCGAAGCTGCTCATCCTTGCCCTTGAGCTGTTCTTCCAGAGCCGCAACCTCACCCTCGAGCCGGCGAACTTGCCGCGAGAGCTTGCGCTTCTCCTTGGTCAGCTCTGATTCTCGGTCCTCCTACATGTGTGGACGGAGTGAGCGTACATGAGAAACCCGCCATCCTTTTGGTATCGCACAATTGAGACAAAAGCTTGCATACAAATGTTGAGGGTGCATGGGCACCGAAGCAATCATCAACCAGCGCAAGCAAACAGTTGCCCTGTGTGTGTGTGTGTGTGTGTGTGTGTGCGTGTGTGCGTGCGTGCGTCGAGGAGAGAGATTCGAGAAAGCAAGACGTTTTGCGCGGGAGACACAAGGGAGGAGGGGGTTGCGTACAGCATCGTTGAGTTCAGTTTTCAGGCGCTTCTTCTGGCTCTCGAGAAGGCGAATGCGTTGCGCTTGCACCTCCGGGTCAGCACCTGAGATTGGCCCATGCATGGATGAGTTGCCATGGATGGGCGTGGGCTAGTAGGCCAACGCAGCTGCCCCGATAGATACTCACTGGAGAGATCAAGGGAAGCGTCGAGGCCGCTGCCATCGTCGGTCGAGGCCTGATCAAGGTGCATCAAACATTAACCAGATCTTTGAGTTGATCCACAGGCTCAAGACAACAGAGAACGAACAGCCCCATTCAGATCGGCAATCAAGTGTGTGATCTTACCTTGGTTTCGGCAGCGGCGAGCTTCTGTTCCAAGGCTTTGACCTCTTCTCGCAATTGGGTGACCTCCTCTTCTAGTTCAGCATTGGCGGCACTGGCCTGGTTTGTAGCCGGGTTGTGTTGCCTGCGGGTTGCATAGCGTGCACAGGTGAGCCCACCAAGCAACCAGGTGCGCTCTCCAAACGTATGAACTGATCCAAGAGTCGTACGCAGAACCAGCGCGGGCACTCGATTCGTCGCTGTTTGGGGCTTCGGCTTGAGGCGTGATGCCTTCTCCGGCTTGCAGTTCAGCAATCTGTTGCTCGAGTCGCCGGCATTGAGAGGCATGTGCCTGTGACAGAGCCATCACGCACAGAAAGAAGCATTAATAAGACTACTAAGGGTGTGCTCCTATGGTCGTTGCACCCTCGCTGTTGAACACGGACCTCTTTCTGATCCTTTTCCTTCCGAAGCTGAGCCCTAAGCGTGAGCGCTTCATCCCGCGCCTCGTCCAATCTGCGCAAGGCATGCCGTGAAGTCAATATTCGACAATGCGACACGCAAAATTAAGAAGTGAGGGGGAGCAACCAAAATCAACGATACCAAACACACACACACACACACACACACACACACACACACACACACACACACACACACACACACACACACACACACACACACACACACACACACACACACACACACACACACACACACACACACACACACACACACACACAAACACACACACAAACACACACACAAATAGAGACCAAATAAGACACGAGGGAAGGCTCAAGGCAAGGAACGCACTGGTCTTGAAGGTGTTCACGATCATGTTGCGCAGTGGTACGATAGGTTTGAAGTCGAGAATTGTATTCAGTGGTGGTTCGCAGCATGCCAACCAGCAACCTGACGCGTTCTGCCAGGATCTAAAGGCAAGAAATTTGAGTGAGAATCGTCAGCGAGGAAGTCTGATGGCGCAACACGTGCAACAGGCAGACCTGGACGCTATCGTTGTCTTTGTATGGGCCGTTGAGGACTGTATCACACATGTCCGTGGCTTCGGCAATAACGCTGGCATTATCTGTGATGTGGTCATGCTTGGCTTGGGCATCCAGCTTGGCACGTCGGTCGGCCGCGCGCACTTTGGCAGCTTCGAGGGCCTCTTGGTATGCCTCATCCTCCTTGGCAAACTGCTTGGCTTTTTGCTCCTGGGCAAAGGTTGATTGTTGATGAGGTGAATACAAAGCCAGGAAAAACCGTTTGAAAAGTTATGAAACGGTTGGGCAGCAAAAGGAGAAGCAAGAAAAAAAAAAAAAAAAAGAAAGAGAAAAAAAAAAAATACGCGAGGAACCAAACATGGAGCACAGGATGTCGCGGACGTGTGTGCGGGGCAGGGGTGCGGGGGCATCCCACCTCTTCAATCTGTTTGCGGCGAGCCTCTAGGCGAGCAGCACGGGCTTCACGGTCCGAGCTGTCATATTGGCGGCTCTGTTGGCAGTCGTGGCGAGATTCGTGATTGGAACAGGCACCGTGAGTAGGAGACGGGCGAGGGATCGGTGTGGCGTGGAGGTTAGCGTGGAAACCAAGCGTGGGCAGCTTACCTCAACGCTGAGCTTTTCCAAGGCGCCATCTTCGGTGTGGTAGGCACGGTTGATGCCACGCTGCCGCCGGCCTTCGCCTGGTTGGGACGTCTATCAAGGTTCCAAGATGGATAAGGACAAGGTTGAGCGTCGTCTCGTGTGTGCGTAGAAAAAAAAAGGGGAGGGGGTGGGGTGGGGATGCTCTTTGATATCAAGCCACTGATCCTTAAATGAATCGTACATTGAGCGAGTCAGCCATTGCAAGGCAGGGCAATGATATGGGGTTCGCTGGCGCGAGACGTTTCGAGCAATCGGCAGTGTCAGCACCCTAGACCCCGGGGGGGGTGTGGTCCTCAAGAGCTCCGTGGGTCTCTTGGTGCCCGACAACATTACATTAAAGCACATGGAAGCAGGGGATTCAGGGTGAACCAATGCACAGATTTGAACAAGCAAACATGCAAATGCATCAGCCAGAGGAGAAGAGGCCCCATTGACTTGATCCATCGCAACAGGCGCTGCCATCGGCGGCCGTTTGCCTCATCAGTACCACAGTCACACTTACTCGGGTCAGCAGCTCACAGCACACAGTTCCACTCGCGCAGTTTGAATGCGAAGATGGGATCCATGCAACTGCACCTCGAATGAACGACGGCCTTTCATCAGCTTCACTCAGCAGCGGGGTCCTTCTATCAGTGGCGTCGTGGTGGCGCGCTGCCGTTTTGAACGCGCGCGCGCGTGTGTGTGTGTGTGTGTGTTTCCAAATTTCCGCCGACCCAAATTAGTATCAAGAAAGGAGGGCTAAAGTTAAAATTGCCCATTGCAATGACTGTTTTAAAGACCTGTTTTTATCCGCTGTTTTAAAACCATGTTTTACTCAGGAGAAAGGTGCTGCAGAACTACTGTTGTTAACAAAGGGATACTGGTTTGGTGTGGTCTGGATTGGCTCTCTATCAGAGCGTCTTACCACAGCGGCTTCTCTACAGATATACCATTATTCGAGCTTATTCTCTGTTCTAGCTTACAATTTGAACAGATCAAGATTCTCATCGGCACTCCTCCTCTCCTCA